TATCACATCTACTGTTTAGAAAACTTTTATTACAATGTTTTAATAATAATACAATTAAAAATATTAATAAAACTTTTGTTTATTGTAAATATCAGTAAAATAGTTTAATATAAATGAAAATTCGAGTGAGTGTTTAAGTACTGGGACACGTTTAATCACTGGGACATTTACCTTAACTTACTGCTCGTTAAAGAACATCGTCGTTTAATATTATAAGATACCGAAAACTTGTATAAGTGCGGCATTGTTAACGCTCATTAGTGGTGAAACATCTAGCTTGTAATATTAATAATCAAATATAGTGTTTTTCCTTATTTTCAATTTAAATTATTCTGAGTTATTTGCCTAAAGTCCCGCGTGTCCTTGTAATCCTAGCTCCAGTCACAAACAGTGCTCTCTCTCACCTTATAACTTACACTATTTTTTAAAAAAATTTTGGATATATAATCATATATACTTATACACAAATTAAACTTATTATATTTAATTATGCAAATTTATATACCGAATATGTCCATACAATTTTATACATGGAAAATTTTTTGCCGGGACTAACAGTGTAAATAATGTAATGCAGAAATTATATCATATAATATAGTAATAAGAGTAAATATATAGATATTATTGATATATGTTAAGTACTTTTATTTTATTCCTAGACACTCACAATTGTCAGGGGAAAAATAGATTCTTTAATTAATTCTAAATAAAACCATGTAGAATTTTATAGTACATGAGTGGTAATACAATGTTTATTATATTTTTTGTTAAAAAGCACATTGAAACATAGCTGACGGTCAAAGAAAAACATTCCATTGAACGTTAGTTATATTTCATTGTGTCATCTAGAAAAAAAAATAAAACATTTTTTATCACTTGTGTATTGCAATATAGTTTTATTTAGAATTAATTAAAGAATCTGTTTTTTATTTGAGTTTATTAAAAAGGACATTTTTCTAATAGTTATATTCCCACACAGAACAAAAACTCCATTAGACGTCTATTAGACGTCCACAGCTCCATGCGACATCTAATAGATGTCTAATGGATGTCTGGATGGATGGATGTCTGTGTGGGATTACTCTTTTATAACACACAAGTCAAAGAATAGTTATATAACAATTAATTACTTTATATTCCGGCAATATAAGATTTTAGTAATCTATATAATTGTTATATAACCTTTCAGTTANTATTGCAACAGTAATATAACATTTTAGTAACATGTTATACTCAGATTATATAATTGCAACTTGGTATGAGAAATTACAACTAACGTGAATGTTATATGTAACGAACATGTTACATCACTTGTTACTTACCGTTTCATTACGACAATGTTACATTTATGTATCTGTGTTTGCTGGGATATTTGCAAAATTAATTTCACAAAGAAATTGTCCAATAATTGAGAAAAGAAATTCAGCTATGCGATGTTTCAAATATGTAGAAATATAATTGCATATGAAGAAATGCAAGAAATCGTCGTCACTTTCCAGATAGCCAACTGATTGCAAGTTGTTGGCAACTTGTCACAAATATTACTCATATGTTTTCAGCAATGTAACAAAAGAGTGTATCCTCTTTTCAGTATGTTCTTGCTACCAACAGTTTTCAAAATATAATAACAGCAAGTTCTCAACAACTCATTGGCAATAAACTTATATTATTTTTCTCAACTTATGAATAAAAATTATTGCTCATATATTATTGCTCACATATTGCTGACTCACATGTCATAAACATTGGCTACAACAATTAATTGATAATAAAACTCAGCATATTGATACTGAATTGACAAAAACATTTTCGTTGCGTTAAATAAAAACAACAAAACAGCAATTGGCGAGCAACTTAATCTATACAATGATTTGCTTTATATTGAGTTTTCACATTTGGCTATCTGGGTCATGATGTCATATTTGTGCAATATTTTCACAATTTGCCTATTGGAGGTATATACTGTGGAAATGCATAACGACTTTTTTGCAATTTTTGACAAATATTATTTATAAAATTTTATTTCGACAAAACTGTTGCGTTATGGCAAATCATGTAAGTGTGCAATCATTGCAAAATCGTCGCCATTCATGATGTCATTTTTGTGCAATATTTTCACAAATGTGCCTATTAGGGTATCGATTGTTTTTTGTTAGTACGGAACGAAATTGCGAAAATCAAAGTTTTGATATTGATTGTTTTGTTAATACGGAACAAAATTGCGGTTTTAATTATAATAATGACATTTGCGTACTTTTTACGCAAAGCAAATTGCTCCGCAGATTCTCTGCGAATAGTCTCGCATAGCGCACGCACGGACAAGTCGCTCGTGGACATGGTTACGTAGTTGCCAATGTGCACCACCCATGGACATAGTGATGGCTTACAGGACGGAAAAGTGATTACATATTCTCTTATGGGCCTGGCCGCTCTCAGGCTGTTCTCTGCCTCTAGATAAGTTTTTGATAACTTTATTCAAAAGATATCTTCCTGAATCGCGTTTTTTCACCTCCGTGAAGGTTAAAATTAATATTATATTACTAACAGATATTTTTATTTAGAGAATTAGCTATTGGGAAGTATGAAGAAATTGGGCATCAGTCTTTTCTGGTAGAAAAAATCCGGAAAGATGGATCTAATTTAAATGTAACGAGATAAAAAAAATGGAAAAATAGATCTTATTAGATCTAAATTAAATCTAAAGATAGATATAAAGTAGATCTTAATAGATGCAAAACATCTAAATAGAGAGATCTATGTGTATAAATTGACACTTTATTTATTCTTAGATCTACTTTATATCTACTCAGATCTACTATATTCTAGATCACTTCAGATCTGTTCAGATTTGCCTAGATCTAAGTAGATCTGAGGTAATGTAATATAGTAAATCTGACAATAAGTAGATCTAAAGTAGATCTAAGAATAAATAAAGTGTAAAGTTACATAGATTACCTTAAATCTATTTAGATTTACTATATATCTATTTAGATTTAATTTGGATTTTATGAATCTGTTTTATCGACTGAATTTACGGCGTATGGCGTCAGATCGTAGTGCTAATTCTTTATTATAAAAAGTTGTGCAGTTTGTACGTAGAAAACCAACTGCGTCCCGTTTTCGGAACAACATAAAAAACAATATAGAGCTCTCAGAAATGTTTTTAGAAGGTTAGCGTAAATAAATAGTGTGCGTGAAATGATGAATAAATAGTGTGTGCATTCCAATATTGTTCTGAAAATATTCACGCACGCTATTTATTCATACTAGGCTTCTAAACGCATTTATGAGAGCTCTATATTGTTCTTTATGTTGTTCCGAAAACGGGACGCAGTTGGTTTTCTACGTACAAACTGCATAACTTTTTATATTAAGCGAATATTACTACAATCTGACGCCAAAAGCTGTAAACTCAGTCGGTAAATCGACGGAGTTCGACCGTCAGTTTAGGATCCCCTTAAATCAGATCTAATTCACTTTTTCCCGGGCAGCGCGCAAACAAAATGAGAAAGCAAGAGAAAATATATTGTTACAGACTTATATAATTAACACACTAAGAATTATATATTATTTGGAATATTTTAATAGAAAAAACTTTATACTACTTTATACTACTTTACAATTATTTTGCTGAAATATAATTAAATATGTATACAATTGAGAGGTAGTTATTTTTCCTGAGTTATTTAACAAATTAATTAATGATTGATGAGTATATACAACTTTTACTTTAAGTTTTTTAAACTATTATTTGTAGTGTTTGCACACATAGAAAGAAATAAATTAATTACAACATAACTTATGTGGTAACTTTTTACAAAATTTAAATAAAGATTCAAAGTTGTTTGTTTGTACTATAAATTCAGTTCTCTTTTCGAAGTTTTGAAAATTTTTTTTCATCTTCTGCATCCTTGTTGCTTATGTCTTCATCTTTATTATCTGCGATTTTTCTTTTAGTCGAAGCAACAGATCCCTTTTGCAGCCAAGAAGCCATAAAAGATGTCTGACTGTTCTTCTTTTCTTGCCTATATTTGGAACAGCACATTATTTATCTAAATTTGTTGAGATAATGTTAAAAAACAAAGACGCATACAAATGTATGCAGTTTAGTACATATATACATACAGTTATTTTTACTTACTTTGGTTTTATCTCTTTTCTGCAATCAGTACTTTTATACATAACATTGTTGACTGAAGTGGATACTGGATGCCAATGTAAAGTTCCTTCTTGTAATATTATATTATTCAATATTTTTATGACAGTATCTGTGTGTAAATCTTTATTTAACCATGTCTAGAAAAGTTTTTATATTTTTAACAATATGTATTTAATATAAATTAAAGACTACACACAAAGATATATGCAAAATAGTAACTCTATATTAAGTCATATCTTTCTGCAAATATTCACAAATATTTACTGACTTGACATTCACTTACTTGACATTCCATATCATTGCTCAGACAGACTGGCATACGATGATGCAACCAAGACAAGACTTGATTACTTTCTCTTGTAATAATTGTGCAGCTATGTATTGTTTTCCCCTAAAAGTATTCAAATAATTATGTTTATTATTTGAGCAAATTGTGCAAGAAAAAGAAAAAAAAGTGAATTACCTCTTCAGTTTTGAAGGCTGCAAATATTCCAGCCAATTTTAACACTTTGAAACCTTTCCATCCTTCCTCTTCAGAAAATTTGTTTCTCCATGTTGTAGGATCATCTGCTTTTACATCTTTGTCTTGAGTTGCATATATGTAATACGGTTGCTTTTGAGATTTATTTGCATTAGCTTTCCATTCGTAAAAACCATCTAAGACAACAACGCACCGTTGTCGATTTTTTAGCGATGGAGAATATAATTTTGAGGCTTGTATATTTTCCAGACGACCATTGTGAGTGGACAACTTATCGGTACGTTTCTTATAATTTCCCTGTACAGAAATTAATTTTTTATGTAATGTTTTATATTTTACTTTTTTTTAAATGTAGACTGAACAATAAGCTGATAAACAGTTGTTTCTATTTATTTTACTGAAATTCAAATAATCTTAAATTGCCTGATGCCAAGGTGGTATCATTCCCCATATCATAGGGCAGAGCACTCTCTCCTCTTCTTCTTCAAAATGCGAACCAGATGCCATACAAGGCAAAATATCCTGCGGACCCATGTTGCATGACGGAATGTATTCTAATTCGCTTTTAGCCCACGTTAATTTACGTGGTTTACCGTTCGCATCTTTGTATTCGCACGCGTAACACAAAGTATCTGGGTCCAGTGAACTGTACAAATTATGATATTTAATAGATAGAACAAGCAAGCATTAAAGTTTTTTCTGACGTCACTGAATAATCGAGTGATAATTTGCATTTGTAAAGCCCCTTGCACAATGGAAGGAATAGCGATAGCGATAGAAATAACACAGTTTTTAACACAGAATTCCAACTCGTCGGAAATTTTATCGCTATTGCTTATTCCGATTTTCTGATCTGCATTGATATATGTGTAGTTTTGTATGTTAGATTCCGCTGTTCCTATCTTTATTTTTAAATATAAACTCTTTAAAACTTTTGTTATTTCTATCGCTATCGCTATTCCGTCCATTGTGCAAGAGGCTTAACAATAATAAAATAATGATAAAATTTATTTACCAACAAGCTCGTCCACACATTTTCATAAATTTTGCTCGCGCCACACTGTGCACGTCACAGTGCTGCCACTTGGAACCATATCTCTAGATATAAAGGTTGGTTTGGTGCAAAATTGGCTCAGTGGACCGAGTTAAGTTAGTCCATACGCCATTCTAGAATATAAAGAATGGGTGTGTTTAGCCGAAGCTAGCGCTACGTAGCGCTACGTAGCGGCTTCATGTAGCAGTTGCAATTGCTGCGTTACTTCTGCTGGACAGTATTG